TATCTAACACTAACAATGCTTCTCTGAATATGGTGTGTATTTTTCTTATTCTTCAACATTAGAAATACCATGTATAATGATGCCATTTTGACTTACCAGGTAATACCAACTGTTCTCCAAAGTATTATACCAGAGCTTCTACTGGCTAACGCTTCTGACTGTAAGACTTAAATGTTTGCAACATTGCCAGGACTGGGAACAAAAGAGTACAATCCAGCTCTTTATGAGGCAGAGGTATGAGGATTGCAAGTCCCCAATTTACTAGTGCAAAAAATAAAATATTAAAAGTTGGGGCTGTGGCTCAGTGGTATAGTACTTAGTGGTCCCTAGGGTCAATTCCTGTAACAAAACAAGGGTGTGGCATAACATCTCATTGTGGCGTCAATGTATATTTCAGATGAAAGGTGTGGTTGAGTTCCAATTTTTTCTTTTTTTAAAAAATCTTTAAAACATTTCTTCTATACTATAAATTTAATGATGCATACATTTATGTTATATATTAGACTTCTGTTTTTCTCCATCCTGTAAGTTTATACATTTATTTTACTATGTTGCAAATATATACTAACTTAAAGCTCTAGAAATTTGCTTTTATTGACAGTTTTATTTAATAACCCTCAATGATTATTCATCTTACATACATGCATATATCATCAGCAAATTATTTGCTGGCAGAGTCCCTAAAGGCAGGGAGCTCTAAATTCAACCCCCAGCACTGAACAAAAACTGGGTATAGTAGCATATCCTAGTGTTTTGGAAGTGTAGGCAGGAGTATCAAGAGTTCAAAGATCATCCTCAGCTACAATAGGAAAGCCTGGAGATTCCATTTTAATTTTTTTCAGAATGAAATTATGCTACCTTGTCAAGGTGAGATGTTTTCTATCGTGTGGTATGTATGTATGTATGTATGTATGTATGTATGTATGTATGTGTGTGTGGTGAACTAGCATCGGTGTGCATTTTCCTAAAGGTTTCCAGATCTGTCCATCAATAGTAAATTCATTTTACCATTTATCAGCTGAAAAGGAAATAAGCTGGTTGTGGCAATGCATGACTGTGAGATGGACATAGGAAGGATATGGAGTTCAAAGCCAGCTTTGGTGACACAGTGAGTTGGAGGCCAACCTGGGTTATATGAGACTTTAGGTTAAACAACAACAACAACAAAAAGGAAAACAAATGTTGCTACTATGATTAAAAAAATGTGACGTAGATCCAGAAAAAGAAAATACGCAATAAGGTGGGCACTGTGCACATCTTAAACACACACAGTTATATCCTTGGAAATTGTGTTAGGTTTTATTTAATATATTTACTACAGCAGGTCCTTAATATTTATTGTCATGAAAATGTCTTCATGAAATTTCATAAATTCCTTTGAGCTATTAGTATTAGCATTTTTTTCTTTTTGTGGAGTGATACTTTTAATTTATGAAATATTTACAGCGTTTACAAAAAGCAAAAGAATGTCTAATAAACTTTTTATACTTACAAAATCCATACATCACACTACTATATTGAGATGTCTTATTTGGTAGACCAGTAAGCTGTGACATAAAATAATTTACAAAGATAAATTTAATCTCTTAATTCATTGAAAACAAAACCATATTAGCTATAAATAATCTTTACAAATCACTGTAAAACATTAATTGCTTTAACTCTAGCTTTAGCTTTTACAAATATATTTACTAAATGAATTAGTTCAGATATCAAATAGAACTGTGCATTGAAAATTTCACTTCATACTACAAAACAAAATGAAAACACCTGACAAAGCAAACTGCCCAGTACTTCAAGTAATAATGTGCAGAACCAGTTTTTATGCACGCACATGGAGGAGGAACCAAACACCATTTAAATGGAGATACATAAACAGAATACTTTCAAGAATACACTAAAAAATGTAAGAAAGATCCTCTAGCCACAGTTCATCCATCCAAGACAGTGATGCCTCCACTTTGGCAGATAAACTGCACTGACTAGAGGTGTGTTTGCGAAAATATTCACCTAAGCAGCAGAAGGCAGCCGACATTCTCACACAGTGCTATACATGGGTTTTGCCTCAACCTGAGTATGACTCAGTGTTAGACCAGCTCATGGGAGAATTTAGAAAGCAGAGCTTGCAAAGTTAAGGAGAAAAATCAAATCATATCACTTTTTAATATAAAAATATGTTTCTCTTGAAAAAAATGATGGGAGAACCTTTTATTTTCAAAATTTCAAAAATTCAAAATGATGAAATGCTCATCTTTTTTCTTACATTACCACTTATGATGGTATAAAAACTGGCAATTATTTCAACGCCTCGCTCTTGGAATCTGCGGAGGAATCGGAGTGCAATTTGGCTTTGGCAGTAATACCCATCTTTCACATTTGGATTCATTTTAGATAATCCAAAGCAACTGTCGTAAGCAGCTGGAGGAAAATCCATTTTACAAACACATCCCTCCCCATCTGGATTTAAAATAATGTTTCAAAGCACACCCACTTTGCTCTCAATACCACCCTTGGACTTCTGGATAGTGAACACTGTATGGTCATGTAAATGGAGTTCTAATTGGTCTAAATAATAAAAACCCAAGAGGCACAAAAAATAAAATAATGTTTCAATTAAGCCCACAAAATACATACTGTATATGTAGCATTTATACAGAGGTACATTAAATTTAAATTTTATCTTCACAAAAGTGCTTTGTAAAAACTTGTGAGGATTTTCCAGAACCCCCTCTTGATTCCTTTCTCCGGATTGCCACACAGACACCGTAGATTTCTTGTAGTATATATGATAGAAGGCACATACTCAAGAGTCTAAGATGTTAGTTCAACTTCTAAATGGAGGCAAGTATTTTAAATCTACTCTGTACACATGCCCAAAATGAAAGTCAACTATTTCACTTATCTAGAGCTCAAGTGCAGTGGCAGTGATCCTCTCAGAAGTGAGTTTGCATATGGGGCATCACCTGTGAGGGACTGGAAGGAGAAGCAGGAGGGTCAGAAAGCTTGGCAGAGTTGGCAAGGTGCAATTCCTCGAGCCTCTTTATATAATCATCACGCAGGGCCAAGAGCTCCATGTAACGCTGCTCCACTGGATTGGGCTGCTACAAAGAATCATAGACACAATTACATTTTATGCTAGCCATGCCATCTGCCCACTGCCTTAATATTGACCCCTGCCCTTTCTAAGGGCTGACATACACACATACTTTCCTTACATACTGCACCACGGACACATAGGAGAAAACAGCTAGAGTCCTAAAACATACACCAAGATTTTCACACTGAGAAATACAGTGCACACACTTCTTCACACTTGCATGGAAGCTCTTGTAGCATTAATGCTAGTTGGTATTAATAGTACAAACCCAGAGACAGAGATTTGGGCTAAGGCTGGAGATTAGAAAAGCAAAGCTACCAGCCACTGGAGAGTTCTCACTTAGGCCAATGCTCAGAACAAAGGGGCGATCCTGTCCTTAGACTGCATCTCTAGACTGTACTGCTCTCCACCAAACCTCAGAATGTAACGAGTTCCTGTCTCCTCCTCCTTATATTCATCTCTTCACCCAGCCATATCACTCCTGTCTCCACCTCCCTAGTGCTGAGATTAAAGGCGTGTGATCCCAAGTGCTGAGTTCACCTTTGTGTAGGCTGTTTCTTTTAGACTGATTCACTCTCATGTGATCAGGATCAATGGTGGCCTTGAACTCACAGAGATTCATCTGCCTCTGTCTCCCGAGTGCTGGGATTAAAGGGTTATGTGCCACCACTGTCTGGCCTCTATGGCTAAGTAGTATGGCTAGCTTGCACTCTGATCTTCAAGGAAGCTTTATTTGTTAGATCATAAACAAAATATCACCCCAACCTCTAAGCATCTATCAGCCCAGACACAGCTTCAGATTTCTGTGTTGCCCATCCCTAGATCCACTGTCCGCTTTCATCCTGAAGGACAGTTCTTCACAATTTGGTTTGAGGATTTCCTTTCTGTGTAGACTTGTGATACTTCCTAGAGGTGAATAGCCAGAAACAAATTACAGTATTACTTTATATTTTGTTAAAATTGATGTAACTGATA